TTGAAATCCATGCAGGGAGATCGGTGCTGTCACTGTCCCTCCACTGCACCGATCAACTCTGACTTTATTCCTGTATCATCCATGGGGAGGGGGGTGTATGCAGGGTTTATGTGGTGAACGCCCCGCACCCATGGATGATATGACTCTCACTTTCCAACTGCCCATCGGCTCTATCACCACCAGTGTCCAGACCCTTCACCCGACTCACTCTGCCCCCACGTGAAGTGACAGGTGAGCTACTTCTGGGTCGGGATCTGAGACTGCCTCCTCCTCCGCTCCCCACACTGTCACTGGACAGTGATCCTCTCACGGGCCCCCTACTGACCCCGGGCCCTCGGGCAATGCCCGAATGGTCAGTCCGCCCCTGTACCAGACCTCCTCTGTAACTCTAAACTGGTATCCTGCAAAAGCTTATAAAGCGTCACCTATGGAGATTTTTAAATACCGTAGTTTTGCACCATTCCTTAAGCATGCACAACTTTAAAGCATGACATGTTTGGTATCTATTTACTCAGTGCAACACCATATTTTACCAAAAATGTGGTTATTATATTGTGTTTGTGTGCATTAAAATTCCTCAAAGTGTATTTTTATTCTAAAAAAATTGCATTCGAAAAACCACTTTGCAAAAACCATGTGACATGGGGGTTTTGGGGGTTCTAAGCAATTTTTTTGGTAAAAATATTGATTTTTACTTGTAAACAAAAAGTGTCAGAAGAAGGCCTGGTTCACATATCCACGTTCCTACGGTCCGCATTTTGCTTGGGCACGAGAGCCTATTGCTCTCCCGTGCCCCGGGACACGCAGGGAAGGGTCCGCATTCCTCTGTGCGGGTGGTGCGGCTCCACAGATTTTTGTGCATATCCACAGCGGCACCACCCGCACAGACCTAGCCTTAAAGTGGTTAATGCCTGAAGGTGCCTGAACGAGAAAAAGACTCACACACATGGTATCCCCATACTCAGGATAAGTAGCAGAATGTCTTTTAGGGTGTGGTTGCAAGTATGCCTATGCCGTGTGTGTGAGAAATAACTTGCTAATTTGACGTTTTGTGAAAAAAAACTAATTATTTAAGTTCTTTATTTTCCATAGAAGAAGTGGGAAGAAATTACAACTTCAAAAAACTCAGGATGCCTCTTATTAAATGCCTTGTAATGTCTACTTTCCAAAAAGGGGTCATTTTGGGGGTATTTGTACTGTCCTGGCTTGTTAGTGTCTCAAGAAATGAGATAGGCCGTTAGTATATCAGTTGTGATCATGTGTGATCAGTTTTTATTGATTGGTACCATAGCTTGTACACTCTATAACTTTCACACAGACCAAATAATATACACTGGGGGTCGGCAACCCATCGATCGTGGTCTACCTGGCGACCGACCTAGCAACATATCACCTGCAGGTTAATATGAAAAGTTAATTTGGCCAACTCCTCCTCCCACCCTCTGTCCTGAGCCGTGCTGTCCTCTGCTCGCCGCTGTGCACTGAGGATGTCAGAAGCAGCGGAGGAGGCTGGGGGAAAGGGGGGAGAAGACATTGCTGGGGGAGGGGGCCAGAGGTCACTGCTATGGGGGAAAGGAGGGGCAAAGGACACTACTAGGGAGGGAGGTGATGTGCAGAGGACACTGCTATGGGCAGGGCCACCCTCATAGCAGTGTCCTCTCCTGCCCTTCATATCACCCCCCTAAAGTAATGTCCTCTGCCCCCCTTTCCCCCATAGCAAGTGGCCCCCTCCCCCCACGCAATGTCCTCTGCCCCCCCTTTCTCCCATAGCAGTGACCTCTAGCCCCCTCCCCCCCCCTCCCGCAATGTCCTCTGCCCCCCCTTTCTCCCATAGCAGTGACTTCTAGCCCCCCTTTTCCCCCCCCAGTAATGTCCTCTTCCCCCTTTCCCCCATAACAGTGATCTCTACCCCCCCTACCACCCCCCACCAACATTGTCCTCCCACCCCCCTTTCCTCCCATGGACAGGTATTTTAAAAATCTGAATTCCCAGCAATTGGCTGGGGATCAGGATTTTTTCTGCCCTCCAGCTACCCAAAGTAGAAAAATCCCAATACCCAGCCAGTTGCTGGGAATTCAGATTTTTAAAATAACTGCCTCCCGATGATCCCTTTTATTGTCCTCCTGGAGCAGCTGAAAGCTAGCATCTCCTCCTCATCCTCCCCCACCACTGTACAGCTGCTGCAGGAGGAAAATCCAGGGGCTTGGTTCTACTAAACGCCCCCCCACTGGCCCTTCCACCCTTGTTCCTCCTTTTCTTCTTCTGCCTGGCCCTTCCTCCAAGTGCTCCCCTTTCAACAGGGCTCCTAAAGAAATTGTGAAAAATATTAAAAAATAAAAATGTAAAAATAAAAACTATTGACACCATACACTGCCCTACTGACACTATCCACTGCTCTACTGACACCATCCACTGCTCTGCTGACTGACACCAACCTCTGCCCTACTGACTGACCCCATCCACTGCTCTACTGACTGACAACAACCTCTGCTCTACTGACACCGTCCACTGCTCTATTGACTGACAACCTCTGCCCTACTGACACCGTCCACTGCCCTACTGACTGACACTGTCCATTTTTAAGGTAGGTGAAGTTTGTACTTTTACAATGACATTTGTTTTATTATATTTTTCTACATTTTACTGCTATTTAGTTAGGCCTTGCTAGTTTTTTTTCTTCTTTTAAATGGCACTGCAACCCGGTGATCTTTGATCTCTTCCATGTAAAAAGATTGCTTACCCCATATACACTGATTTGGTTTATTTTTACCAAAGCAATGTAGCAGTATAAATTATGGTCAAAATTTATGAAGAAAAGTTACTTATTTGCAAAGTTTTATAACAGAAACCAAGAAAAACGTGTTTTATTTTTCAAAACTTTTCGGTATTTCTTCATTTATAGCGCAAAAAATTAAAAATGAGTGGTGATTAAATGCCACCAAAAGAAAGCTCTATTTGTGTGAAAAAAATTATAAAAATTTCATAAGGGTACAGTGTTGCATGACACAAAGTTTGAGAGCACTGAAAGCTGAAAAATGGCCTGGGCAGGAAGGGGGTGAAAGTGCCCAGTATTGAGGTGGTTAAAGCAGACTCTGCACTTATATTCATCCATAAGCTTGCACTTAACATTCCAATGTCAGTTTATCATCTGGACATGGATCAATCATTGCTGTGACAAGCATTTCATAAATTTCTAGTAAAATACTAATTAATAGTGCTGCAACATGAAAATCTTTTCTCTTCTTCTATACCTCTGAGGCGTTCAACCATTTCCAAAGTGTGCCTTATGTAATCCTGCTTATCATGGCCTTCCAACAGCTTGGTTTGGTATAGCTTTCTAATCAAGTACAGTTTATTACTGAGATTAGCTTTTTTCATGCACCTTTTGTAATCCTTCCCACATTTCTTTAGCATTTCACACTTACATACTGTATATGTATTATTTGAACAATCTTCTATGCTAAGAGAAATTGCGCTCCGTTCACTGCCTACAGAACAGACACTGCACAATCCACGTGTGCTTTTCTGCTTCACCGCAACAAGCAAAAAAGGAAACCATTTCAGAGAAAAGACATAGAGTTTACCATAGATGCAGCTACAAACATATAAACACTGCCATCTGCCACGGATGTAGTTGTAGCACAAAATTCATGAACACTGTATTCCACCAGCAAGTTCCATAATGGCTCTTGCTTAGTTTCAGAAATGATCTTTCTTACCATTCTTAGAAGGTTAAATAGTTCTGTCCTGTGACCATGCATGTCTTCTTCCTGATAGTGGGGGCGGGTTGCAGGACATGGTGCAGACAAACGGCGTGCCTGTATTCCAGAGGCAAAATGCAGGTTATGCTTGAATAGAGGCAGGTTATTATTCAAGAGGCAGGTTATTATTGGTCAGGAGACATGGTGTGGCTACACAACCCATTGTAGTGTAGTAGCAATATTGGAAGCCAGGAAAACTCCGGACAGGGACTTCTGAGGAAAACAAGTGATTTATTAAAAACAGCGCTGTTTTGACCAAGCCGGGCTCATGCATGCAAAGCCGAGTGATTTGTATCTACTTCTTACAAGCGTATATACCAATGATTACGTTACAATGCATACATTCCTTCTTTCATTTTCTATACACTCAAAAGGCTTTCTAAACTCTGCAAAATATAACCTTGAACAGCAGCTGTAGATAAGGGTACTAGCTACAAGTTGATACATATCACTCACAGGAAATAAGGGAGGGGGGAAAATGAGCTGAAAACCTTGCTTTGCAAGTAGAGGCTGCTAGAAGTGTTACAGTTTAAAGGGGGACTCTGCAATATCTGGGTGCTACCACAGTAGCGATCACACCCACAGGGGGCCGCTGGAAATAGACAGGTTGTCCCACAATAATACATTGGCTTTCTGCCACAGACCCAGTTCTATGCATACTGACAATACAGGCTCAGTTTAGCGGATGTCTTTTTGTGAATCTTATTGTAGAAACTTGAACATGAGGGGATTTAAAGATTCAGAAAACTCTAAACTGATATCAGAAATAAACAGGGGGACAAATTTCTTAACACAAAATCCTGTAGCAGTATCCTTGACTGGAGGCAAAAGGGAATGGTCAGTAACTCTAGGTCTTATAAGAGCAGACCCAGTCCATACAGAAATCCCTGGCACTCTAGCAGGCACACTTGAGTGTCCCAAAACCAGGTCTTACTCGCAATGCCCTAGGAGCTGTCTGCCACCCAGCTTCTTCAGTGTGGGAGACAAAGATCCTTCTCCAGGACTCAAAGATTATGCCCTCCAGCAAAAATTCTTTAGCTAATCTTCTCTAGGCCCTCAGCCCATCAGTTGTTGAGGCCTAGGAGAACTGGAACCCTCTCTGAAGAGGAAACAACACTCTGGAAAAGCCTTCCAGACATTTATCACCTTCCCAGCAACCTTCTGGCACCCCTTTTCAGGGATGTGCTGAGGTCTGATAAATATTAATAAATCTGTGGTTGACCCTCCTATTCTATTTTCTGGAAGCAGACAGCACCAGTCAACCACTAACCCAGGGGCGGACTGATCATTTGGAAACTCGGGCACTGCCCGATGGCCCGGGGTCAGTAGGGGGGCCCATGAGATGCCCCTGGTACCTTTTTCATAGGCTTTCTTGAGTTTGTGCAAGGATACAGGGGCCCCATGATCCCCTATTGCCCGGGGCCCCATGAGTTGTCAGTCCACCCCTGCACTAACCTTAAGGAAACCCTGACAATACCAAAAACAGAACATTGCCCCACTGAGTACAGTGCAGCCAACAACTAAATTGAGCCTATCTTTTTTACAGGGCGTTACACTACCCAATACGATCATGCTGCAGTGTCCTTTGCCTATGAATGGCCAGCCAAAGTATGCAAACTGACCATGCTAACACAGATCAACTTCTGAACTTTGTGTGGTCAGTTTAGAACAGGGAAGAAATGTGATTGGCAAGATCAACCATGTACGTTAGACGGAAGAAGTAAATGAAAATGATAGAAATTATTATTTATAAAATACACATATGTGAACAAACACATAGAACAAAAATATTTAGGGTAAAATTTTAAAGCTCTCAAGTCAATAGCCACCATTTACAGAGTCTGAAGACACTAGGACTTGGCACTGCCTTTGCGACGCTGTCTACCAATGTAATAGGTGTACCAGTAAGGAGGTGTGTTCGCCAACCATTATGTAACATCATTAACTCAATAACAGAAGTGCAGGGGCTAAACAGGTTTGTTTTTGCATCACGAGCAGCACTAGCCTCAGAGGGCATGTACAAATAGGAAAAACCTTCAATATACCTGCAGTTAAGGTATGGGTCTTAGTGAATTTTGACTGTCTGCATTGCTTATCACTTGCATCTCATGAGGTTTACTTGCAGAAGTAACACTTGTTGATAAATTCTGGTATAACCAACATGCAATAATTCCCTACAGAAACCATGGAATATGGTGTAACTTAACCGCTTTAACCGCAAAAACGCCACCCTATAGCAGAAATACTGCTATAGGGCGGCAGGGGTGCGCAAAGTCACGTATATATACATGATTTTGCATTTCTGGATAGGGGGAATGTGCAAGCTGCACACACGGCCTACCGTCATTCGTGGCCCACCCAGTGATCGCCAAGAAATATCGACAGGGGGAGAGAACTGTATGTAAACAATACAGTTCTCTTAACTGTCAGCAAACATAGCAGAGCCATACAAAGTGGAAAGAACAGACACAGCCCCCATAGTGAAACACACACAGCACACAATCACCCCAGATATTAACCCCTTCCTGCCCAGTGCCATAAGTACAGTGTCAGTGTATTTATTTATTAACACTGATCACTGTATTGGTGTCACTAGGGTTGTCAGTGACACCAAGTTAGTTCCCCCCAGAGTCAGAATGCCCGCCGCAGTCCCGCTATAAGTCGCTGATTGCCGCCATAACTAGTAATGAAAAAAAAAAAATTCCAGTATATATACCGCCGTTTGTAAACACTATAACTTTCAAGTAAACCAATTAATTTACACGTATTGGGATTTTTTTTAGCACAGACATGTAGCAGAATACATTTTGCCCTAAATGTATGACGAAATTTGATTTTTTTACTGGATATGTTTAACCACCTCCTGTCCGGCTGTTGTATATAAATGGCCGGATGGTGGCAGTGCAGGGGCGGGTGGCAGTTTATAAACAGCCTCCCCGCCCCTGCTTGTGCACAAATTCCTGTTAAATCTAAATGATAAAACTGTACTGAGTTAATAAATAAAGCTGTGTGTGTAATTGAGGTCTTGAGGCTCATTCACATGGGTGCTGTGGCCTGTAGAGTGTGAATCAGTGATTTGTTTATGTGGCTGGAGCCGCTTGCAGGCAACCTATGTTACACTATAGAAATGCTGCAGGTCATAAATTGACAAGCATATGGGTGCAGGTGTACAGCCCTGAACACAGACAGTGAGCATTCAGGGCCACTTTCCCACGCCTTCACACCTGTCAGATGAGAACCTGTGTTCATACAGCTGCTGTGTCCCCATTGCCTAACAGGTGGATCCAGCCATGTGAACAACCCACTCATGCATGCTGTACACAGGGACCAGGAGACATTTCAATAGACTGTCTAACTTGTGGGAACATGCAAAAATACTTATTTTAAAAGTGTGTTGCACCGAACCGCACAGTAGTGTGGTAGCATGCGTTTTGGTGGCTGTGAATGCGTCTGTGTTTACTAGACGTGTGGAGGTGAAATTAAGTATTCTTGGTGCCTGCGCACATCTGCAAAGGGCATTGCATTTTCTTTGCTGTGCAGGAAAATGCATGCTCTTGCATGCGTTTTCTGCACCACAAATGGTGTGAATAAGTCCTAAGGGCCAGTTCACACTATAGAAAACGCAGTCTAGATGTGTTCCGGATGCGTTTTTCCATGCATGTTTTAAGCGCGTTCCAGTGCATGTTTTATGCATTCCAGTTAATTTTTCTTTGTTTCTTCACTTTAATTAGGGACATGTGCGTTCCAGTACAGTTCTGTGCAGAAAAAATGCAGCAAGTTCTACTTTTTTTTCTCCATCCTGAGCGCACTGGAACTGCAAGCACTGATGTGAACTATGACATTGACAACCATATAACCTACTTTCGGTGTGGTTTGGATGCAGAAAAAACACAACTTGTAGTGTGAACTGGCCCTCAAGGTTATTATAGGTAAGGGAACAGGACTGACCAGGAATTGTGAAGGCAATCAGACTAGTGGTGAGATACAATTAGAAATCTTATAATGCTAGATCTGAGCTATAGGTGATAGGAAATGAGATACATTAACTAGATCAGTAAATAAATAGTTAAATAAAAAGTGTTGAGCAGTGATATAAAGGTTTGCAGAGGGTACAGGTGATGACAATGGGGGAAGGGGGGTCAAGTTGTATCAGGAGAGAAGTTTGTAGCAGTGAACAGAAAGGGATCAGTCTGGGGGAGAGGAGAGAAACAAAGTTGCAGTCAAATTTAAACAGAAGGAAACATGAAAGTGTCAAACTTGTGGAGCAGAGCAGGAGTGCAGAGCCACTGTGTGATAGAATGACAGGAGCAGGGGGGTGGACTGACCATTTAGCCACTAGGGCAGGGCCCGAGGGCCCGGGGTCAGTAGGGGGCCTCATGAGATGCCCCTGGTACCTTTCATTGGCTTTTTCATGTGCTTTTTTGGGTGTGGGCGAGGACACGGGGGCCCCATAATCCCCTATTGCCCGGGGCCCCATGAGTTGTCAGTCCGCCCCTGGACAGGAGGCTAACAATGGAATTTAGCAGCTGCAGATGGGCTCTGCAGCTGATGGGGCCAGGCCCCCTATAAGAGGGCTGGGGGTACCCCCTTATCAGCGGCCCTGGTGCTGCCTGTCATTGTGTATGGAAACCAAATCTAGTAATTTTTTCTAAATCAAATCAGCCCTGTTGGCACCACCCAAGTCAACATGTTAGCAGCACAGGGAAAATGCAAGCTGATGGATTTTATATTGTTTCTCATGTGGGTTAGTGACACTCTATGACCAGAGGCAAAATTACTTCACAGGGCCCCACACACAGAAACAATCACTTCTTATCACTTGCCAGTGACACCTGTCCTGGCACTGACTATGGAGGGGTTTTTTTAGGGAATAGTGCAGAACACTGGTTCTCCTCCACCAGCTATTCACTATACGCACTGTACTCATACTTTTGTCCTTTTTTTAAAGCATATAGAGAAACCGCACTTAGTTTGCAGAGCCCTGCATGCACATTGTTCCAGACATGGTCCTTGGGAGGGTCCTGTTCCGCAGCAGGCCCTGAAGTTAGGGACCCAGCCACACAGTACAGTACCCAGTCCCAGAACCTCTGTAATCAGCTACCACTCAGAGGTGGACTGACCATTTGGAAAGTTGGGCACTGTTGAGGGCCCGGGGTCAGTAGGGGGCCCCATGAGATGCCCCTGGTACCTTTTTCATAGGCTTTTTTGAGTTTGGGCAAGGACACAGGGACCCCATGATCCCCTATTGCCCAGGGGCCCCATGAATTGGCAGTCCGCCCCTGCTACCACTGTTCCATCTCCTGAAAAAGCTGCTCCAGCTTCTAGATCATCTCACTTCAAAGCCTCAAGAGTTAACAATAATACACACTTCACTTTATGATCTCAAGGGTTAACTTTAGATGATACTCTTTGTTCCTCAGTTCTTTAATACACTGTGAATCCACGTAATTCCTTTTCCTCAAGTAACTCAGACCAGACGATTCCTTACCCAGTAATTTGGAAATTCAGATTTGGAGATTTGGATGTATCCAAATTCCCTAATTGCAACAGTAATTAACTTAAACAAATCCAAAATAACAAAACGCAATTTTGTCTGAAATTCAAATCAAATTTGAAAATGAAATCAAATTCAAAAACAAATTTGAAATATAAATATGTTGCTGACTATTCTATTGCTGATTTCCTTCAAAGACTATGTGTATTAGTGTTAGGATATAGCCGTCTTCTGAAATGTGAATTTCGAAAACAATAAAACAGAATAGAAAAAAATAGAATAGAAAATAAAGGAATAAAATAGAATATAAAAGAATAGAATATTAAAAAAACATAGAATAGAATAAATATAGCTGTCTTCCAAAATTCAACTTTTGAAAATAATAGACTAGAATAAAACAGAATAGCATAGATTAGAATAGAAAAGAATAGTGTAAAACAGAGCAGAAAATAATAGAATAGAAAATAAAAGAATAGAATGAAATAAAATAGAAAATAAAGGAATAGAATAGAAAATAAAAGAATAGAGTAAAACAGAACAGAATAGAATAAAATAAAACAGAAAATGAAAGAATAGAATAAAACTAAAATAATAGAATAACATAGAATAAAAAAATATTAGAAAGAATAGAATAGAAAGAATATAACCATCTTCCGAAATTCAAATTTGATTAGAATAGCACCAGCTATTCTTCACAATGAATTTGGATTGATTCAATAATATTGATTCAAATTCAATTTGAATACTTCAAATCCATCAGAAAAATTTGAATCCGGTCGAAAACTAATTTTCTCCTTCTGTACATGTCTAGTGACCGGAAGAGGATATTCCATGTCTTGCTTTCTTTAGTTCGGCCAGTGGGGTCTTTAATGGGAATGTCTTTCACCTTCAAGATAACAGGAAAAATCATCTTTTGTTATATGTCAGGTTGGAATAAACTACACTGCTCAAAACAATTAAAGAAACAATATTTATCAGAGTATAGCATCAAGTCAATTAAACTCCTGGGATATTGATCTGGTCAGTTAAGTAGCAGAGGGGGTTGTTAATCAGTTTCAGCTGCTTTGGTGTTAATGAAATTAACAACAGCTGCACTAGATGGGAAACAATGAAACAACCACAAAAAAAGGAATGGTTTTATAGGTGGAGGCCACTGACATTTTTTCCCTACTCATCTTTTCTGACTGTTTTTCACTAGTTTTGCATTTGGCTAGGGTCAGTGCCACTACTGGTAGCATGAGGTGACACCTGAACCCTACAGAGGTGGCACAGGCAGTCCAACTCCTCCAGGATCAGGATAGCACATCAATACGTGCCATTTCCAGAAGGTTTGCTGTGTCTCCCAGTACAGTCTCAAGAGCATGGAGAAGATTCCAGGAGACAGGCAGTTACTCTAGGAGAGCTGGACAGGGCCATAGAAGGTCCGTTATCTGCTCCTTTGTGCAAGGAGGAACAGGATGAGCACTGCCAGAGTCCTACAAAATTACCTCCAGCAGGCCACCGGTGTGAATCAGAAACAGACTTCATGAGGGTGGACTGAGGGCCTGATGTCCTCTAGTGGGCTCTGTCCTCACTGTCCAGCAAAATAGAACTCAATTGGCATTTGCCATTGAACACCAGAATTGGCAGGTCCACCACTGGCTCCCTGTGCTTTTCACAGATGAGAGCAGGTTCACCATGAGCACATTTGACAGACGTGAAAGGGTCTGGAGAAGCTGTGGGGACTTTATGCTGCCTGTAACATTGTTCAGCATGACCGTTTTGGTGGTGGGTCAGTGATAGTCTGGGGAGGCATATCCATGGAGGGATGCACAGACCTCTACAGGCTAGACAATGGCACCTTGACTGCCAGTAGGTATCGGGATGAAATCCTTGGACCCATTGTCAGACCCTACGCTGGTGCAGTGGGTCCTGGGTTCATCCTGGTGCACGACAATGCCCGGCCTCATGTGGCGAGAATATGCACGCAATTCCTGGAGGATGAAGGAATTGATACCATTGAATGGCCCCCAATCTTGCACGACCTAAATCCAATAGAGCACGTCTGGTATATCAGGTTTTGACCTATCTGATGCTGCCAGGTTAAACATCAGACTGTCCAGGAGCTCAGTGATGCCCTGGTCCAGAAGATTCCTGGGAGGAAATACCTCAGGACATCATCTGTCGTCTCATTAGGAGCATGCCCCGATGTTGTCAGCCATGCATTCAAGCACGTGGGGGCCATACAAACTACTGAGTACTATTTTGAATTGCTGCAATTAAATCTCAGCAAAATGGACTTGCCTGCTGCATAATTTTTTCACTTTGATTTTCAGGGTGTCTTTGAATTCATTCCTCTGTAGGTTGATAATTTCCACTGCCATCAAATGATGGGGCATCCTTACGTTCCTAACACATTACCCAGTCCATATCAGTACAGTGGGGATCGAAAGTTTGGGCACCCCAGCTAAAAATTTGTATTAATGTGCATAAAGAAGCCAAGAAAAGATGGAAAAATCTCCAAAAGGCATCAAATTACAGATTAGACATTCTTATAATATGTCAACAAAAGTTAGATTTTATTTCCATCATTTACACTTTCAAAATAACAGAAAACAAAAAAATGGTGTCTGCAAAAGTTTGGGCACCCTGCAGAATTTATAGCATGCACTGCCCCCTTTGCAAAGCCGAGACCTGCCAGTGTCATGGATTGTTCTCAATCATCATCTGGGAAGACCAGATGATGTCAATCTCAAAGGTTTTAAATGCCCAGACTCATCTCACCTTGCCCCAACAATCAGCACCATGGGTTCTTCTAAGCAGTTGTCTAGAAAACTAAAACTGAAAATAGTTGACGCTCACAAAGCTGGAGAAGGCTATAAGAAGATAGCAAAGCGTTTTCAGATGTCAATATCCTCTGTTTGGAATGTAATTAGGAAATGGCAGTCATCAGGAACAGTGGAAGTTAAAGCAAGATCTGGAAGACCAAGAAAAATATCAGACAGAACAGCTCGCAGGATTGTGAGCAAAACAATTCAAAACCCACGTTTGACTGCACGATCCCTCCAGAAAGACACTGGAGTTGTGGTACACTATTCCACTAAAAAGAGATACTTGTACAAATATGGTCTTCATGGAAGAGTCATCAGAAGAAAACCTCTTCTACGTCCTCACCACAAAAATCATCGTTTGAACTTTGCAAATGAACATATAGACAAACCTGATGCATTTTGGAAACAAGTTCTGTGGACCGATGAGGTTAAAATTGAACTTTTTGGCCGGAATGAGCAAAGGTACGTTTGGAGAAGAAGGGGCACAGAATTTAATGAAAAGAACCTCTGTCCAACTGTTAAGCATGGGGTTGGATCAATCATGCTTTGGGGTTGTGTTGCAGACAGTGGCACAGGGAACATCTCACGAGTAGAAGGAAAAATGGATTCAATAAAATTTCAGCAAATTTTGGATGGTAACTTGATGCCATCTGTGAAAAAGCTGAAGTTAAAGAGAGGATGGCTTCTACAAATGGATAATGATCCTAAACACACCTCGAAATCCACGGGGATTACATCAAGAGGCGTAAACTGAAGGTTTTGCCATGGCCTTCACAATCTCCTGACCTCAACATAATTGAAAATCTATGGCTAGACCTTAAAACAGCAGTGCGTGACAGACAGCCCAGAAATCTCAAAGAACTGGAAGACTTTTGTAAGGAAGAATGGGCAAAGATACCTCAAACAAGAATTGAAAGACTCTTGGCTGGCTACATAAAGCGTTTACAAGCTGTGATACTTGCCAAAGGGGGCAGTACAAGATATTAACTCTGCAGGGTGCCCAAACTTTTGCAGACGCCATTTTTTTGTTTTCTGTTATTTTGAAAGTGTAAATGATGGAAATAAAATCTAACTTTTGTTGACATATTATAAGAATGTCTAATCTGTAATTTGATGCCTTTTAGAGATTTTTCCATCTTTCCTTGGCTTCTTTATGCACATTAATACAAATTTTTAACTGGGGTGCCCAAACTTTCGATCCCCACTGTATAGATATCCAGCATGATATTTTTCCCCATTGAGATCTGATGTGTTTTCAAAGTGTTGTTTTAATTTTTTTGAGCAGTGTGCATTGGATTCTCATTCTGAGTTTTCTTGGTTAGTCGACATTGACATTGTCAGCAAGTTGCTTTACTGTTCATACAAACTGGGTTTGAGGAGACATGTCTTTTGAACAGAGTGACATTCGAGACAGAACAAGAACCTTACACTGTGTTTCTACTGAGGGGGTAAAAGGCATAATGGGATTTCCATTTTCTTGGAAACTCCAGGAAGTTTAAATAACTCAGGGGTAGTTTATTGGTTGAACTGGGTAGACCGCTTCTAACTTCAGACTGTTCAATTAGGCTTTGGCAATAAAACCTGGAAGCTGACTGGTTTCAATGCAGAGTTGCACAAGATTTTACACTCTCCAGTTTTAGTAAATAATCCCCATTGTCTCCTTGCTGTTCACAGGCTTAATGTCTCTGAGATTGAATCCTTTTAGAAGTTGGGGGGTGATGTGTGGCAGGAGCTTCTAATTTTGGGCATAAAATGCCAAGAGAGTTCAAATATCGATATTTTTCCATTGTTCAAAAACGACCTCTGTTAGAGCCTGGATGCTGGATGGAGAGTGATGGTCAACTTGTCTCTTCAGAAATTCCCCATAGGTGTTCGATTGGGTTCAGATCATGAGACATACTTGACCACTGAAGCACTGTTCTTCTTCAGAAATGCAAAAGTGGCCCTAGATATGTGTTTTGGATCATTGTCATGTTGAAAAAGTGCACAACGACCAAGGGGGCGGAGTGATGGTAGCATCTTTTCTTTCAATATAGAACAGTACATCTGTGAATTCATGATACTAT